GGTTCTTGTTTTGGGGTGCTGAGGAAGCTGGAAGTGAAAGAGGCCCTTTATTTCTAAAAGTTTGGTCTCAGGCTGGGGGAGGAGGGGAAGAGGGAGAGGAGGGTATCCCAAGGAGAAACACGTGAAGGAAGAAGTGTCCAACTGCAAGTTAGCACAGGCAGGAGGGAAGGCAGCCCAGCACTCGCTCCTACCGTTCAGCATTTTCTATTCTTGTCCCCCCACTAGTGACAGATGAAGTTGGGCAGTTTTCCACCCTGATTTTTAATATGGATTTATTCTAGCTGCAAGGGATCCGTTCTAGCTACAGGGATTCCTGTTTAGGCGACATATACTTATTATCCACGAACACTAGAGAGAATTTCCAGGAAGGGTCTCAAATAGTTTTGTGGGTTTTTTTCTCTTTTAGTAGTCCAAAAAGTTGAACCGATATCTGGGTACACAGCCGGATAAAGATGTGTCTCTTTGCTTTAGCTTATGCATGTCTGATCAAATACGTGCCATGAGAATGGGTTGGGCTGACAAGGGAGAATGAGACAGAAAGCGAGTGCGTGACAGAAGGAAACAGTGGTTATTTTATAAACACCAAATCCAGGCCATGTGCGAGCCATTGTCCAGGGGTAGAATTAAGTGATTGTAACACGATAGCGCTCTGTTATTGTAAACAGGACGTATTGTATTGCTATTGCTGCCCCTTTCGAGAGGAATTTTCAATCTGCGATTTACAGCCCTCAGACGGGGAAGCCAAGACCCACTTATTGAAAACAAATTTGCATCATCTAATAGGGACTCTGAAAAACACCATTGCAATCCCAGCTTTTTGGTTGCTTTGTTTTGTTTTGTTTTTTTTCTTTCCACGGCTAGGCAAAAGTAAGGTTTACTAGTAAAAGATACGACAAAGAAAATACCCAGGGGAACATGCAGATTCTTTAGACTCTTTAAAGGAACACAAGAAGATCAGGTTTTAGGGTTTTCTCTCAGATATATCCATAGCTGTCGAATAAGGTGTGTATATATATGGTATACAGGAAACTCCGTGCTATCAGATTATTGGAGGAGGGGAGGGAGGGGAATCTTCCTCTCTAGATTTTCTAAGTGTATCTGGAAACTCATCACCTTTCCCCTCCCTGCACACACACCTCCACTCCTCCTCCTCCTCCCTCGCACTGCCGTCCCCGCTCCTACGTGCTAGCTAGAGACACGGAAAGTTAAGCTGCACCAAAACACCCAAGTCTCTTATAAAGTAACCCCTGGTATCACTTTTAACTAAAGAAGTCTAGTAATTAAAAGTCTGAGTTGTTTTTCCACGTTTCCGCATGCAGTCCTAATTAAATCTTTACGATCCTCTCTGTGACTATTAACTGCCAGCATGCTGAGCGAATATCCTGTACAAAAACCCAGCAGGAGGGCGTAATTAGATAGAAAATCAGACAGGAGTCTTCTCATTAACTACAACAACTAACCCACGTTGCTGATGGAGCGAGCGGAGTGCACGCACACACATAAAGCGTGTGCACAACCATCGACTCCAGAGATAAGGTGAGATAAGGAGGGAAAAGAAAAAAAGGAAGGGGAAGATGGCGTTTCACACTCACCTCCAACTCTGCGCCGTCGAGGTGCACCGCGGTGCACTCCAGCAGGCTGCAGGATTTGCCCATCATCCCTCTTCGGGAGCTGCACAGGGAAAGGAGGGAAGACTTTGTAATTTTATTTTGTGCCCTTTAGGTATGTAGCCTATTGATTATGAGAGAGAGACACAGCCATGCACAAACACACGGCAGAAGGAACCACTCTGTGTGTGTGTGTGTGCGCGCTCGTTTGAGTGTGGATTCAAGGAAAATGAAAGGCAAGATCTCATGGAAAATACTGTTCCGTCACATTTTGGGGAGATGTAATTTTCTCCTAAATCATATTCCATCCTGAACGTCTCTGCTGAGCAGAGAGAGAGCCGGAGATAAGGGCTGGATCCGGATAAGCTCAGCCTCTCGGTGTAGCAAAGATAAAGTTAAAATAATGGGGAAGAAAATAATTGCTTTGCTGGAAAGGTGTTTTCCTTATCAGGGAAAAAATGTGACGACTCCCCAAATATGCAATAACCCGGAAAAAACCCAAACCCTAAATAATAATAAGAAAAATCAAATAATAAAGCCAAGAAACCCACAGGTCCTCCCTTTCTCCGAAACCCAGAATTTACCCTAAAACGGAACCTGTCGTCACGCTGCAATAAATTGCTCTTACGAGACCTCTTCTCTTTGGGAGACGATTTTGCTGGGCTGACCGCAGATTCGGCGGTAATGTTTGTTTGCTTGTTTGTTTTTGTATACCCCGGCTTTCGTCTTGAGAAATGAAGCCCAGCATTTGCTCTGTCCTCTGTGCCCGTCTTTGTTCTCTTCCCTGCCAAAGAAGTTAATGCCATAATAACAGGTGTGCTCCTAAGCGGGCTGAAAAGAAAGGGGGAAAAAAAAGGGAAAAAGGCTTTGAAAAGGAGATGGAGAGACTTTTCTAGGCAATCAACTTAATAGTTCGTACTTTTCGTAACGTCTGTTCCTGCTCCCCCCTCCCCGTCCCCACCAATTCAGGACATGGAAGCAACCTCGGGAGCCGTAAATCTCTTTCTGCTTGTACCCTGTACGATGTGGGCGTTGCGCTGCACTCCGAATTGCTCAGGCTTTAATTAAAAGTCCATAATGTAAACTATTATATATAAAAAGTAAATGGCCCTTGAATTATTAAGATGTAGCAGGGTTAAACAAACAAACAAACAAACAAAAAAAAGGGGGGGGGGGGGGGAAGGGGGCAAAAAAAAACTTTAATTGTCCTTAACCGTGTTCATTTATGTCATGCAATAGATCTTGCAGATGTTGCCAAATTGCCAGATTTTCAAAGGAAGAAATATAAAGCTTTATCGAATGCAAAGAAGTCTATGTGATATCTATGTTTTATAAGATAACAAAACCAGTATTGCACCCCATATGCTTCACACTTCTTTTTTTTATTAGAAGACTATATAATTTGTAAGAATTTCATTTCCTTGTTGATTTGGGGGAATAATAATAACAATAATAATAATAATAATAATAAAAAATCCCTCCTCCCCTAGCGAATTAATATAAATGGAAATAACAGAAACTCCAGTTTGGAATGACATGATTTATGTACGCGATTCTTTAATATCCAGTCAATTTGAATAGTGATGTTTTTATATCCACAGTCAGTTGAAGATGCCAATAACAGCGGTATGAACTTATTGGACCAGTCTGTCATTAAAAAAGGTATGGATTATTCCAACAAGCTAGACAAACTTTTACTGTGTGGCAATATCTCCATGATATATTTTTACTTTGGGGCAATTAATTCATCCGGGAAGCAGGCATACATGGCAGCAAGACGGATAGTTGCTTGGATCGGCAGACAGAGTGAAGGGGAAAGGAGAGAGATGTGAAAGGAAAAGTTGATATCCCCCCTCCCCCGTCCTTCAAAGGGTTTAATTACACAAATGCTCTCAAACGGAGCACCCCATGCGCAAATGGAGGTTCCACGGGCCCCCTCCTCTCTTGCCCCCGTAGCCCTCGATGGGGACCCCTTGGCTTTTAATGGGGGAAGGGGGTTCATCCCCTTTGGGGCTTAAATGCATTTCCCAGGCGAATCGAATGTGAAGGGGAGAGAACCAAATGCCTACGGAAAGGCAGCCCCGACCTCCTTCCCCCCTTCCTCCAAGAATCCCCCCTTCCCCATGCCCATGTTTTAAATCTTTCTACATATGCGCGCATGATTTAGTGTAACTGCAGCATCACCCCATACTGTTAAAGGGAATGTGATATTAACAAATGTTTGCAGTCTCTTGTACAGCTGTAAGCAAAATAATTAACTAATTAAACTAATTAAATGTAATTACAATAACTCATTTTGGGCGTATTGCAGCTGCTTAATTTTTTTACATTTCTCTGACAGCCACTCGAAGATGCTTGGCGATTAGTGTTGTGTTATGCTGATAGACATTAAACAGATCACACACTGCAAATGTAGGGGAAGCTATCTTTAATTATCTAAGGAGTTTCTATTTCTAGATTCAATTTTAAGTACCAGAGATGAGGCTTAGAAATGTTGTCCCTTATGCTTACTATCAACGGCACTTATCTCCAGGACCTTATTATTTGTCAAATGCGCACAAATGCTTTAATAGAGATGTTCTTCTAGAATGTAAAGCAAAATAACAGGGAGGGTGTTTATTTAAAATGCGTTCAAGGCAGCATGAGGTCCTTCCGTGCATTTATTGTTTTTTAATTTAAAACCTCATGTACGGTCTCTCTCTCTCTCACATACGATCAAGTTCTAGTTATTTGAGGGAGGACAGACGAAAACTTGAAGACCATTTGGCAGCATCGTTTATGACCACCCGTTGAAAAGTCGAAGGTGCTTTTGAGAAACAGAAAACTACTTACCTTAAAAAAAAAAAAAAAAAGTTGTTTCTCCTGTTTTAGTTCAGTTTGAAAGTGTAGTAGGTTTTGTGCAGGGTCTGTATAACCTGATGGCTTTTGGTTGTATT